AAACCTCCTGCTGCCCAGGCATCCCCTGACTTCCCACACCTCCTGGGAGGAGGAAGAGAAGGGGCGAGGTCCCACTGACCCAGTGACCCTTACCCCATCACTGTGGCCCACCTATACCACCTCTTTTGAGTGTGAAAGTGGCAGGCAGAACTGTCAAAAACAGAGGTGAGGCGAGCCGAGGAGTCAGAACTGGGGAGCAGAGATTTCAGGGTCCCTGGTCCCTGGTGGCCTCAGAGGAGATGGGGATGAGGATGGCATCTGGCAGGGCTAGGGTGACTCCCCTCAGTTCTGGTCGGGCTTGTCCCCGCCTGCACCCTCCCTGCAAAAGGCACATCCCTGTCAGAGCCGGCTTGCAGGCCTCCTGCCTGGACCACTGCAGTATCCCCTAATCGCTCTCAGTCTCTTCGTCTCTCCAAGTCATCGCAGGCTGCCACCACTGCAGTGGATTAATCTTCTTAATATACCATTTTGCACACCTCCTCCCTCCCCCCAGAAGATCATGGGCAGAAGCAAGTCCAGCCTGAGGCAAGTCATGGAGCAGAGTCAAGGCCATTCTGGCTGGCCCTGCCCACTTGGCAGCCTTGATGCCCAGAGGCCCCTCCCACCCTCTGACCAGGGCAGACACTTGGTCCTCGGTCCTGGAGGATACCCTGCACATTCTTTCCTCTGCTCCTTTGCTCACGCCCCCTGGCCAGCTGGGCATACCTTCCACGGGAGTTCTCCTCCCACTGCCTTCTCCCCACTGGCCCACTGACCTCAGCTGGCTTGAGTTCCTGGGGCCCTTCTGGTGTCTGCCTCCACACGGTGCTTAGCTGCAGCCTGCAGGCACTCTGTGCTGCCACGTGTGAGGACTGCTGCCGCTGTCAGTGCCCACGGGGCCACTTGAGCAGGACTCTGGCCTGGGTGTTTCCACAGGGCAGAGCAGCCTTGCCACAAAGGGGTGTTACCCTGTTTAATAGAAGAGGCCACTGGGAACCAGCAAGGTTAAGGACTTGCCTAGGTCACCCAGGTGGAAAGTCTCCGAGTTGGCAGGCCTCCTGCATTCAGGTTTAGCCCCACCTCTTAGCAGGGTTGCACACACCATGGGCACTTTAAGGGTTAGTGGATAAAGGTGCTCTGGGTTTCAGGGGAGTTCTGGTGCTGGGAAGTACTGAGCAGCTTACCTGGGGCCCAGTTACTCCAGGCTGACAGGCTAAGGGGAGGGGAAGCATTGGCAGATGGGAGATGGGACATGTACAGTTAGCATCACATAGAGAAGAGCCTGGGGCCTCTGGGTGAGAACCTCAAGCTTCCTGGCCTCCATGTGCAGAAACCCCCACTGGGCCTTGACATCTGTGGACAGGAGGGAGGATGCAGTCTAGACCAGAAAAAGGACTTCCTGGCAGCCTGAGGGGCTTGTATGAGTTTGTGCTGGCGGCCTGGGTGTGTGCGGGGCAGCAGCATGCAGAGATGTGGAGGGAAGTGCAGATGGGCCTTTCTAAGCGAGCGATGTGACCTCCATCAAGTCACCACATCTCAGAACCTCAGTTTCCTTGCTGTCAAGGAAGCCTACGTCCCTCCCTTATCTGGTGTGAGCAGGGAGGAAACGGACTTCGGGGAGGAAGGGCTTAGGGGTGCGGGGCCTGTGGGCGGCACTAGTCATAGTTGGCTTCCTCTCTGTCCCTTTGCAGCTGCGGTGGCTGTGATCACGGCCCTGGTCCCTGGGGCACCGGTGTTGCTAAGATTGTGTCTCTGCGTCCTCGTCCTGCATTTGCAGAACATTCCCAGCTTCCGATTTAGTAACTTGGGCAGACCTGGCTGTCTGAGAAAAGAGCACTTTTTTCCCATGGATCACAGGGAATTCAGGGCCCTGGGAGGGAACAGGCGTTGCCCATAACCTTGTGCACTGAGGCCAGCAAGCGAAGGCTGGGGGAGAGTGCCAGCCAGGCCCTCCTTTCTATCTGCTTCTTCAGTCCTGGAGCCTCCTGGGCTGGGCAGGCTGGAGTGCTGGCCTTTGCCGCCACCCCTCGAGGAGAGCAGTGACACAGGCCTTCGGGGAGCCTGCACCATCCTTCTGATGAGGCTCTAGGTTGGTGTGCTGGCGGGAGTGTGTGGGTCTGTGTGTATCTATGAGCCCTCAGCTACAGACTGTCGCCAGCCCTGTAGACAACATCAGGAAGCGGTGAGAACACCCCTCTCCACACACCTGGTTGTACTTCAAGGATTCACTAATGAAGTAAATACATGATACCAAAAGCGATCGTGTTTTCACCATTTTATTAAGTTTTGTTTTTGGTGGCTTTTTTTTGATGTTTAATTTATATTCTCTAAAATATACCCATCATATGTATACCTCAGTTATACTTTCGGACTCATTCTTTATTAATGCCTCTGCGTTCATGTGAAATATAATTTATGTACCTAAGAAGACACTTTACATATTCAGTCCATCCATGTGTCTGAATTCACAGGCCTCTCACTGTCACCTTTGGACCCTGACTGCCTAGTCTTATTGGAGTCAGAGTAGGGTGGGATTGGGTCCCACTCCCTGGCTCTCTCTATCCTGTGACTTTGCACTGGCCATGCATCATCTTTTGGCCTCTTGTGCTTATCTGCAAGATGTGCAAGGGGAAGGCTGTTGTGTGGATGGTACAAGTGAGACCCATAGGGCGTCACACCCATGTGGCCTGCGCTTACCATCTTTATCAAATCCAAGAATGGACAACTGGGTAGATGACAGAGTGACAGAGAGGCAGGTTCGCTGACCACAGCTTTCTGACAGACTGGACTTGGGAGCAGAAGGTGGGAGATCCACTTAGGCGGGGGGGGGGGGTGCCTGAGTCCTGGGCTTTAGCTGTCCTGACTGTGGCCCCTTCCCCTGCACTGTGGTCCTCTGTGACCCACTTGCTAAGTCAGGTGGCACTGCCCTCACTCACAGTCTGGGGGGCAGACTCTCACTTGGGATCTGCTGGAGCAACATGACAGTTACTGTCTCTGGACAGCTGGCTCTCGGCCCTGCCGGCTGGCCCTGGCTCAGCTCCCCAGACCTGTCTCTGGAGAAAATCCATTCGTGGGCTGAAAACTTCTCTCCTTCTGAGAAGCCATTGACCCCTCAAATGCCCCTCATCTGCCAATCAGAAGGCCCAGCCTACCACCTCTCCCACTCCTCACCCAGGCTGGCCGCACAGATTGGGACTATTAAGATACATTTGGTGGTACCTAGGGCCTAACTCCATGCTTGGGTGACCTACCTGGGCAGCTGGCCAGATGAGGCAGCTGGGTAAACAGGGGGAGATGTCTGATGGACTAGGACACCTGGGGTGATTCTCAGCCTATCCTAACCCACTGGTTATTTATTCAAACTTCTAGAGCAGCTAGTATGCACCTTGGGCTTTGGGGGTGATCAAAACACCTCAGCAGGTGGGCAGTAGGCTCCATCGAGTCAGCCACATTTCATATTTCACTCTGCGGCTTCAGTCATCAACTCCCTTTCTCCCCTGACATGGTTCATTCCCTGTGCTCAACCCTGTGATGCCTTCCCCTCCTGTCTGCCTGGAGAGACCCTATTCACCCTCAGAGTTCATTTCAAGTGCTGTCTCCCAACTAAGGCTTTCCCAGTGTGTTCCTCACTCACCTTCTCTCCTCCAAACTCCTGGATTTACTATCTGGATAATTTATTTTGGCACCAAAGCATCTAAGGCCTCTCGTGGTTATTCGACTGTTTCGTGTGTGTATGATTTGTTTCCAGCTAGACTCTGAACTCCTAGGAGGCAGGGAGCATTGCTGGCATGTTTTTGCCTGCCTGGTGGATTATATAGCACCTGGTGGATTATATGGTAGGGACTTAATATTAAGAGGGATTCTCAGTCACTCAGTCATGTCCAATTCTTTGTGACCCCATGGACTATAGCCTGCCAGGCTCCTCTGTCCATGGGATTATCTCAGCAGCAATACTGGAGTGGGTTGCCATTTCCTCCTCCAGGGGATCTTCCCAACCCGGGGATTGAACCTGCGTCTCCTGGTGCACCTGCATTGGCAGGCAGATTCTTTACCACTGAGCCACCATATTAAGAGGGAGGAGGTACTTAATATTCTGTGCTAGAATAGCAAATGAAGTAGAGTTTGTCATTAATTCTGATGACCTCTCTAGGATGTGTTCGCTGCCCTAATCCCAGACCCTGGGTAGGAGTATTAATTACTTCTAGTGTTTTACATTTGACCAGAGATTAGAGATCTTGCTAAACGTCACACAGTGATTTGACAGGATAGGCTGAGAATTACCCCAGGTGTCCCAGTCTCAGATAGCAGCTCCAGATGCCACCTCATGTGTGACATCTCTTCTTGGGGATCTCCCTTCTGCTCTTTGGTGTGTTTGTACATGCTTGTGTGTTTGTGTACACATGTGTGTGTGAGTGTGTGTGTGCGTGTATGCATTTGTGTGTGTTTGTGTGTACGTGTATGCAGTGTGTGTGTGTCTGGAAGGAAATAACGTTGCCAACAGTTGTCCAAGAGAATGCTGCCAAGTCCACAGAGTGATTGATTGTGGAGAATGTGTGACTTCGCGTGTGGCTGTGTGACTGGATATGCGTACGAGGCCTTGGCAATCACCCTCAGGTGTCCACCAGCATCAGTGCACTGCTGGCCTGGGCCTGCTGAGCTGGCGTGACAGCACAGGACAGGTTGGGTCTCGGAGCACACAGTAGGAAGTGGGTGGAACCCACGGCAGAGGCCTCCAGCGAGCCTGTGGCCCCAGGATCTGAGACTCAGCTGAAAGTAACTAGGGGCTGGGGGCTTTGTGCACTGGCCACCCCTGAGTATATTTTCTCACGGACGCTTTTGGGGAGCGTCTTCACCATTAGCCTGAGCATTCAGCACCCCTACTACCCTCTCCCAACCCCCACCTCACCCCCAGCTTGCTGTTCCTGCTCCTGGATATGTAGGAGGGCCAGGTGTTTTTGAGGACTGGGATGAGGGGCTCAGGGACGAGCCTCTGCAACTTCATGGCTCACCCTGTCTTCTAGCCTGAGGAGCTCACCAATGCCCTGGAAATCAGCAACATCGTCTTCACCAGCCTCTTTGCCCTGGAGATGCTGCTGAAGCTGCTAGTGTATGGTCCCTTTGGCTACATTAAGAACCCCTACAACATCTTTGATGGCGTCATTGTTGTCATCAGGTATGACTGCCCCTCTGCTGCCTCTTGCCTGAGGAGTGCCTGCCACCCGCCCTGCTCCTCTGGGCCTGGAATCAGGCCCCACTGACCCAGAGGCCCCCTGCTCGCCCAGCTGGGGATTCTCTGTGCCCCTCGCAGCACATACCACACTCTCTCAGCCCTCCCTTGCTCACACAGAATGTGGTCTCCCATCTGCTTTGGCCAGGCTCCTCTGAAATCTCTGCTCTCATTTCCACTCCTTGTCCTTGACCCCATGCAGGCCTGGGGTGGGCAAAGACTGGGGAGTTGGCTTTGGAGAAGAGTTGGAGAAGGTGTAAGGCCCAGCCAGCTGTCTGTGCTTACAAAGTGCTTGGAGACTGTCGCACACACTGGCAACTTGCTTTAGGGTTTCCAAGACCTTGGGAAAGTGTTCCACTGTTCCCCCCCCACCCGCCCCAGGCCCTGGGCCAGAAGAACTGCTTTATTGCTTTTTGGAATTGGCTTTAGATTTCATTAGAAGAGAACAAAGCAAACGTTCCATAACTTGAGGCTGTTGCTTTGGCTGATGGAGGGAGCGGACTGGCCCAGAGGGGAGAGCGGGGAGGGAGGGAGCTATCACCCTGACCCCTGCCTCTTGGAGCTCCTGCCTAGAGAACCAAGTTTCCCTCAGCACCCACTTTCTCAGTGCTAGCCAGGCCAGACCCTCAGGTGCTGCTGAGCCCTCCCAGTGGGTGGGGTGGGAGGAAGGTGAGCATGCAGAGGCCTCAGGCTCAGGCTCTGGCTCCTGCCCCACCCCCCACCCCTTGCAGTGTGTGGGAGATCGTGGGCCAGCAGGGGGGCGGCCTGTCGGTGCTGCGGACCTTCCGCCTGATGCGGGTGCTGAAGCTGGTGCGCTTCTTGCCGGCGCTGCAGCGGCAGCTCGTGGTGCTCATGAAGACCATGGACAACGTGGCCACCTTCTGCATGCTGCTCATGCTCTTCATCTTCATCTTCAGGTGAGGGCAGGTGCGGCATCCATGCCAGCGGGATGAGGGCCTGAGGGGCAGGGGTTTCTGGGGCCCTGACCCCCATCTCGTGGCTCCTGTGTCTTCAGCATCCTGGGTATGCATCTCTTCGGCTGCAAATTTGCATCTGAGCGGGATGGGGACACGCTACCGGACCGGAAGAATTTTGACTCCCTGCTCTGGGCCATCGTCACTGTCTTTCAGGTGCAAGGGCAACAGGAGAGGGTGGGCAGGGTGGTGGGTGTGCCCCGGTAAAGGCCCTGACTCCCATCCTCGGCCCACAGATCCTGACTCAGGAGGATTGGAACAAGGTGCTCTACAACGGAATGGCTTCCACGTCATCCTGGGCGGCCCTTTACTTCATCGCCCTCATGACCTTTGGCAACTATGTGCTCTTCAACCTGCTCGTTGCCATTCTGGTGGAGGGCTTCCAAACAGAGGTAACCCCCTGCCTGCAGCAGTCCACTTCCAGGAGGAACTAGCTGCATTGCTGGAGTGGTGGTGTCCTGGGAGGTTCTGCAGGAAGTGTCCTTCAGACAAGGCTGGGGGACTAGGACTGGGAGGTTCTGAGTTTCAGGCAGCTCCTTGGCACTCGAGAGACAGGGTGGTTGTTGGGGGGAGTATCCCTGGATCCAAGGTGAGCTACTGAGTGGGCTTCCCCAACAAAATTGGCTAGACTCTACCCCAGGGAGCTGGACAAGATGAGTGCTGGCACACGGACAGCTGGATCCCTGAGCACAGGTGTGCTTGGGGACATCTGGAAGGAACCCATCTGAGTTGAGGGGTAGGGGAAGTTTGCATGCAAATCATCTGGGCTTTGGCTGAGCTGGTGAAGATGGCACCAGCGCCCGGGCAGAACTGAGCTGCCCTGGGTGAGAAATGAGCCCAATTAGCTGCGGGCATGGCAGAGATGAGCGTCCTATTTCCAGCCCAGGCTCCATCACTTTCGTCATAGACAGCATCATCAATTAATATTGATTTACATTGATCCCACCCTCGCCCGGCCAGGACGCAGTCTCTGCCTGAAGGGCTGCATACAGTTCTGCTCCTGTAGCTCAGCTACTCTTCCTACCCAAGCCCCAGGCCCAGCCCAGCTTCCCAGCACCTAGCACAGGGCAGGTCAACTCAACCTAGAAATGCTCCAGGTTGGGTGTGGAGAAGCTCTCGGTCCAGTTCTCTCCGGGTGACCCGGATGGAAGCTCCCGCTGCGGCCTGGTCTATAAATATCCAGCACACGGTGGAAAAACAAAAGTCTATTTTCTGACTCTTTCCCAGCCTTACGAGGGAGGGCTGTTCCCTGTGGGCTGGGCTGGACTGGTAGGTGTGGGTATACCTCTCCCACACCGGCCTCCTCCCATTGTAGTTCCATAGTTAACCATTATTGCATTTCCTCCCCACCTTTAGTGATGCCTGGGCCTTTTGATGGGAGGGAGGGACATTGGTACTCTCCCTTGGATGGGACCTTTATTAACCCTCTGTGGCCCAAAGAGTTAAGGATGTCAATGTGTTCCCTATGAGTCAAGGTCTACATGGAGACCCACCGCTTGGCCACTGCTTTTGGCCTGTGGGTGGAGGAGCTGAGTGGGGACAGTGGTCCTTCAACCTCTTCCAAACCACAGCTCCTGACAGCTGAGTTCCCTCAGAAAAATTCCTGTGGAACTCTGTGGAAATGGGAAACATCCCAAGCATATTTCCCTCCTTCAAGTGGCCGTTTGGCCTGCTCGGCAGTCCTGGAGATGCCTGGTACCAGCACCCCTCCCCATCCCTGGTCCTTCCAGCAAACACCTTGTTAAACAGAGCTGCTGAGCTGGCCTGGTTGCTAGGCAGCAACAAAGTCTGTGTGGGAATGGAGAGCACTCTGGCCTTTGGGCCTGGCCTAGTCACTCTGGCCCTCCTGGGCGCTTGTGGCTGTCCCAGCATGAGGGGTTCCCCAGGGTCTGGGGCGGTACCCTCCTCAACAGGAGGGTCTCACTCAGGGTGTGATGCTTTGGGTCTGGGGTGGGATGGAGAAAGGATTTCAAGAGCAACCTCTCCGTGGGGGTGGGCAGCAGCATGGCCCTGAAATGCCCATGTGAGGAGCTAGATCAGCCACTCACTATCCTATAAACCCCTGGGTCAGTGTAGAGGTTGGTCACTCAATGCCAGTGACCTGGAATCCTGCAGAGGCACCTGCCCTCAACTGCATGGAGTTTTCAGAGGCACACTTGTAGCTCTGAGGGAGTCCCAAAATCTGACAGAAGAGGTTAGCTTTTGCTATTGTGATGACCTGCTTTTTTACAAATGAGGCAACCTACCTCAGTGGAAGCAGTGGCCACCTCCATTTTGTTGGCCATCATCAGCAGGAGGCCTCAAGGGTCACCCCTTGCTGGGCTTACCACCCTGCCAAGAGGTAGGAGAAGGTAGCCTAGGAGTCTGGGCCAGCTGGGTTGTTGACTTCCCGACTTGCAGGGGGCAGCGCCCTGAATCCCTGAGTATTTATCATCTGCGCACTTAATTGAATGAACAGACAGCAGGCCCTGTGTGAGGCCATTAATTGATACCAAACAACCTCGTAGCCATCATCCTAGTTTTTTTGTCATTATTTGTCACATCCCATCCCAGTAGGAGCATGCTGATGTGGAGGGCACGGTTAGGAGTTAGGAGGCCTGTTCTTGTGCCTAGTCTTTGGTCTCCTCCCCCGCCTCTGACTTCCATCCACTCCTCCTTCCCACCCTCCCTGCCTGCTGCTTCAGAGCCAGTGAGAGATGAGCTAGAGACTCAGGTACGAGGCCCAGATGCATCTCTTATTCTTTGTATCACTTGGGGCAGTTTTTTTTTTTTTAACTTCTCCAAACCTCAGATGCTTCCTGTAAGATGGTGCTAGCTGTGCCTCCTTCTCACCTGGGTAAGCTAGTGTTAATGAAGCAGTTTCTTGATGCCTGGCACACCCCCAGTGAATGGTAGCTGTTATTATTAGGATTCCTGGGGGCTCAGTCTCCTTCCCTTTCCCTGTTCCCATCTTTGTGGCCTGTGCCCTCACCCTTCAGATTCATTCTGGCTCCAGGGCCTGTGGTTGAATTCTGGAAGGCCCTTCTGTCCCCTTTCTTCTCCTCTCTTGCCCCGTGTCTCATTTCCCCCACCGTTGGGTTTGCACCCATCCGTTTCTTCCTCCTCTTTCAACACTGCTGTTTGAAAGCCGGGCGCCTGTGACCAGTGCCCGTCCCCTGCCTCCCCTCTCCCTGTAGGAAATCAGCAAACGGGAAGATGCGAGTGGACAGTTAAGCTGTATTCAGCTGCCTGTCGACTCCCAGGGGGTAGGTATGCGATCACGAGCCAGCATGCCCCCGTGCCCCGTGCCCCCCACTCTGCCTCCGTGTCTGTGCTTGTATTTCCGCTCAGCGGCTGTGCAACCTGTGGTGGCTGTGGTGGTCCGTGGTGTCTGAGGTTTGCTTTGATTTTAAGTCCCTTCCCCCTGGAGGATACTGAGGGGAGGGCCTCCTTGCCTCTGCCCTGTTCACCAGCAAAGGGCACAATCCATCCCGTCAGACCAGTGGATGGCCGGAGAAGGAAGGGACTTAGAATCCTCTGTGTGCACGTGTGTGGGGCACCGCCCGCGTGTGCGTGCCTCGGCTGCGGTCCCCGAAGAGTCTGAGTCCTCGGGCCTCGGTGGAGTCGGGATCTCTGGCCGTAGACCGAGCTCCCCCATCTCGCTCCTCCTCCTTGCCTTAAGCTCCTGTTGGAGACCCCACAAGTTGCCTCATCTTAGGACAAGTCTTTGGAGGATGTGGGGGTGGGTCTGCCTCTTGCCAGAAGGTACCAGAATTTTCAATCTACTTCTGTGTCTCTGGCCCCTTGACCACCCAGGAGGTCCAGCAGGTACTCAGGGGCACACTCCTCCTCTGGCCCCCACACCGAGCCTGTGCCCTACTGTCCCCTGCACTCGCACCAGAATTCGGGGCAAAGCCAGGGTTCCCATGGGACTCCACGGTACTGTGCATTCTGAGCAGCCCCCTGGAGATCCCGCTTGATAATTAAAGGCCTCGTTAGGGATGTAAACTGAGTTAATGAAAATGATCCCCTGAGATGCCAATTACGCAATATTTATGTCCTTATCAAAAGTAGCAATCAAGTATTTCTTAATAACTTCTTAAGGAGAAGTGTGTAATTACTGGGGAACCTACTGACCTGCTAAGGAGGAAGAAAAAACTGTCCCAGAGACAGGGAGAGAGGTAAAAATGGGGCCAGGGTAGGAGGTGGGTCTTTGGGAAGAGGGAGGAAAGAAGTAGAGAACATCCCTTGGGCTGAACGGCTCTGTCTGGGGTCCTTCGATTTCTCTCTGGGGTCCGCGGGTCTGAGGCTCAGGGGAGGGCAGTCGTGGAGGGAAAGCAGAGGCCACAAGTGGCCTTTGGAATTGAGGCTCCCGTGAGCGCTTCACTCAGGCTCCCAGCTCCCTCTGACCTGTGCCCCCCACCCGCTGGACTATCCCCTCTCCCCTCAGCCCTTCTTGAGCCAGTTCCAGCCAGGAAAGTTGTGCTGTGGGTTCTGGAGATAGTCCGGCCTTCTCTGAGGTGACAGAGGCCCTTGGGAGACCTAGGCCCCAAGCCTGGGTGGTCTGGTCTGAGCCAGTGCATGCCTCGTGCCGTGGCGGCTGGTTCCTTGTGGCCTCTATGTGGTGTGTGTGTGTGAAGACAGGGAGACCTTGGTCCATCCCACTAACCCCTGCCGGACCAGGTTCCTGATAGCCCACTGCTCTCCCACCCTAGGGAGATGCCACCAAGTCGGAGTCGGAGCCTGATTTCTTCTCGCCCAGCCTGGATGGTGATGGGGACAGGAAGAAGCGCTTGGCCTGTGAGTATCTCTCTGCAGATACAGGCCCTGGCTCTTGGCCAGCCTTGAGTGGACTCAGGGTCTCGCCCTGTCTCCCCTGCAGTGGTGTCTCTGGGAGAGCACCCAAAGCTGCGGAGGAGCTTGTTACCACCGCTCATCATCCACACGGCTGCCACGCCCATGTCGTTGCCCAAAAGCTCCAGCAGTGGCCTGGCCGAGGTTCTGGGCCCTCCCTCCCGCCGCACCAGCAGCAGTGGGTCGGCTGAGCCAGGGGCACCCCACGAGATGAAGTCACCGGTAGGGGGTGCATGTGCGGGCCAGCAATGGGAGTTGTATAGGGGTCAGGAGGGAAAAGAGGTGGAACCAGTGGGCCCAAGGGAACAGCCTCTGAACCACAGGCTAGACAAGGCCCAGGGTGTTAGTAGGGCTGGTCATCTAGGCAGACACCAGAGCCCTGACCTTGAGGACCAAAAAGCAGTGTTCTCGTTCTACTTCTTCTGTTCCCCAAGTGCCCTTGGGGATAAGACTCAATATCTGAGACTCCTCTGTAAAATGGGAGGTCCTTACCTCTTTAAGTCCACAGGGTCACAAAGAGTCAGACACGACTGAAGCAACTTAGCATAGCATAGCATAGCATACCTTCTTTAGACCTCATCTTCATAACAGCAAACCCCAACCAGATAGTGATTCTGTGCCAGACACTGTTCTAGACATTGCTTATAAGTGTTCTGTTAATAAACGCATGTAATCCTCATAGCAACCCTCTGGTAATACCACCATTATCCCCATTTTATAGATGGGGACCTGAGTCTCAGATTACCAGAGTGAACTGTGGGAAGCTCCATAGTGAGCAGGTGACAGAGCCAGCATTTTAGTCCAGGCGGTTGGTGTCAGGGCCCATGCTGTCACTGTGATTTTATATTGCCACTTAACTAAATGAGGAATAGGTGCTAAGGTCATATCTCTTTTATAGATGAGCAACTGAGGCACAGAGAGGTTTAGTGACTTGCCTAAGGTCACACAGCTGGTGTGAATCCAGGCATCCAGATCTAGGGCCCCTGCTCACACTTCTATAGCGATGTGATGCCAAGAGGCTCACAGGAGCCAGGATGAAGGTGAGGGGGTGCGGGGCCATGAAGCTCTGGCTCAGACCAAGCTCTCCTCTGTTCACGCCTCAGCCAAGTGTCCGCAGTTCCCCTCACAGTCCCTGGAGTGCAGCAAGCAGCTGGACGAGCAGGCGCTCCAGCAGGAACAGCCTGGGCCGTGCCCCCAGCCTGAAGCGGAGGAGCCCGAGTGGGGAGCGGAGGTCCTTGTTGTCGGGTGAGGGCCGGGAGAGCCAGGATGAGGAGGAGAGCTCGGAAGAGGAGCGCACGAGTCCAGCGGGCAGTGACCGCCGCCACAGGGGCTCCCTGGAGAGGGAAGCTAAGAGCTCCTTTGACCTGCCGGACACACTGCAGGTTCCCGGGCTGTACCGCACAGCCAGTGGCCGCGGCTCAGCCTCCGAGCACCAGGACTGCAACGGCAATTCGGCCCTGGGACGCCTGACTCAGGCTCTGCGGCCCGATGACCCCCCACTGGATGGAGACGATGGTGATGACGAGGGCAACCTGGTGAGGCCCCTGTGGGCACAGTGACCGCTCACCCCGCCTGACCTGGTGCAGGACTGCACAACTCCCTCCCAGTTGTTTGGCATTCAGGCAGTTACCATGATGCTCAAGGGATCTCAAGGGGTATCAGCCCTGAAGCCAAGCTCCAAACAGCCCCTTTGTCCCTCCGCCCACCCCACCAAGCCCCAGATCCTCATCATGCCTGGGGCTGCAGCTCTGCGTCCTTGTTGGATAAGAATGACTTCAGGCAGATGTGTATGAATCTTTCATGGCCCTCCCCCGTGACTCAGAAAGACCCATCACTCATCTCTCCAAACTGATGCCCTCCTCTGTCCCCTCTCTTATATCGACCTCATCACAAGCCTTGATTTCACACCCACTTTTACCCATTCACCTTTTCCCCAGCCCTCTCACCACCACCTTGAACCCTGGGGATGGGGCTCAGGGACCCGGGACCTCAAGGTTAGCACGTGAGAAGGGGCCGATGTCTGCATCCCTGGTGTGTCTTTGGACAGGCAGCTGTGATGGGGGCAATGTTTGATAATTGATGTGGCTCCCGAGCCCAGTGGGGAGGGAAGGAGGGAAGGAAGGCAGGCAGGGCGCTGGGCCGGAGTGGAGAGAGCAGACTAGGAGTGAGGGCCACAGAGCTGTTGAGGAGTGAGGGATCGGGAACTTGGAGACCTGGCCCTGCTCACTCCCCGGACCATCCTTCTGCAGAGCAAAACAGAACGGATGAGGGCGTGGGTCCGAACCCGGCTCCCTGCCTGCTGCCTGGAGCGAGACTCTTGGTCTGCCTACATCTTCCCTCCTCAGTCAAGGTCAGCACCCCGACGTCTCCTTCTCATGGGTAATTCTGTGACTCCATTCTGGGGATGCTAGAAGTGTCCCTTGACATGGGGGTGGGTGAGAGCAGGGCCTTGGGCTGGGAGGGCCCAGGATGGGTAGGGATTGGGCAGTGCCCCTCACTGCCGTCCCGCCTTACCCCCACTCAGCCTTTGCCTCTGTCTTGGAGCAGGTTCCGCCTCCTGTGTCACCGAATCATCACCCACAAGATGTTCGACCACGTGGTCCTCGTCATCATCTTCCTGAACTGCATCACCATCGCCATGGAGCGCCCCAAGATCGACCCCCACAGCGCTGTGAGTCACTGGGGCTGACGGCAGTTGCTGAGCGCCTGCTTGGTGCCCTGCCCTCCCGGGTTAGCGGATTTGTACCCATGCAGCGAGCCAGGCAGGCAGGGAGGCCAGAGAGACGCGGAGGCAAGGAGCCAGGAAGCTCCCTGATTCTGACCCTTGCAACTGGATGCCTCCTGTGTCCTCACCTGTTTCCCTTCTGTGAAAAAGCAGCCAGCTGGGGGGCATGCTCCCAGCCTGGGCAAAAGTAAGCTTTGTTGCCCCCGGCTGTTTGCAGTGGTGCTTTCTTGTGCGCCAGGGCTTGTGAGGCCTGTGTGTGAGTCAGTGAGTATTGCAGTGATGCCAACAGTGAGCTGGTCTGAGTGGTCAAGGGTCTCCTTCTCACCAGGACCTGTGCGCTGATGGGGAGGCACCCTGCCCAGCCTACCCCATGGGTGATACCCCATAGAGGAGGGAAGCTGTCCTTTGCTCCTCTGGGTCTTGCCAGGTTACAAACAACTAGTGTTTTAGGGGCCTTCGGGGCAGCATTGGTCACTTATACTTGGCTTTGAACCTGTCAGTCCTCCTCAGGAGAGGAGAGGTCGTGGGTCAGAGTGTGTGGACACACCCCTTCATGCCTGACTTCTTTAGGACACTTCTAGTCCTGGGAGCTCTCTCCCCAGTCTAGCATCACAGCCTGTCTCCCCCGCCCCAACAATGAACTGAGGCCTAGAAAGATGGGGGGCTCTGTTTCCCCCCATGACATCTTGCACCACTAACTTGGAGGTAGACCCCATCCTCGTTGTTGCCTCCCACACCATTGTTCAGATTTCAACGTTAAAGCCCTATGTTTTCCATTAGGGTGGGCTCCAGCCGGGTCAGTGGGAAGGGGTGGTGGTGGTGGAGGGAAGTGGGCAATGCGGGGGCCAGCCTGGGAATAGGTGAGAGCCTGTATGTGTGCAGTCAGGGTGGCCAGCCACACTGGCCCCCTCATCTGCCTCCTGCCCAGGACCCTGCCCCAGAGCTCACCATGGCCGGGTCCCTCCCCACCTTCCCCCTCAGCCCCTCCATCTCCAGCTCTATCACGTGCTTCTCCCTCTCCCCACTCTCCCTGTTTCTCACTCCCTCTGATGCACTTTACCCGCTGCCTCTCCAGCTCTCTACACCCCTCTCTTGGCCATACAACAATGGAATCAGCTCACGGATATCAGGGGATTGGGCTGCCTTCTTTCCTGCCCGCCCGGCCTCACGCTATGCTTGGCATAAATATGGTGCCTGGGGATGCACAGCCTGTACTCAGGCCCCCATCTTGCCCTGCGGCTCCATTTCTGGGGCACACAGCAGGAGAGCAAGTACGTGGAGCAGGGACGAGTAGGATGAGGCATAGAGAGATCAAGCTAAATGCTGCTCCAGTTTTAAGAAAGGAAGCAGTGAATAGGGTCTGAGCTCTGGGGCTCAGAGACACACCGTGGTGGGAATCACTTTCCCTCAAGGCAACTCCAGGAGGTAGGGGGCAGGAGCGGGACTGTGCTCAGAGCTCTGAGTGAGTCAAGGGGCTTGACGCTGGCTGCGTGTGCATGTGTGTGTGTGTGTGCGTGTGTGTGTGTGTGTGTTTGAGGGATGATGAGGAGCATGTTGAGGGAGGAGCATGTTGAGGAGAGTCGGGGGTGGCTGTTCCCAGTTAAACACTGAAGGCAGTTCCTAGCTTCTGCGTGCAGAGCAGACCCTGCCCAAAGAGGGGGTCCCGGTGGCAATACCTGCCTGCTCTCTTTTACAGGAACGAATTTTCCTGACCCTCTCCAATTATATCTTCACCGCAGTCTTTCTGGCTGAGATGACAGTGAAGGTGATGGGGGGGGGTCAGCATTGGATGGGAGCCATCTGGTTCCCGGGTGTGGGGTGGGGAGGGCAGGGGAGAGGCTGGGCCACAGAGGGGGGCAGGGCTGGGGAGTGACTGCAGGGAGGAGGCAGTGTTGGTGACGCGGGGGCATCCCCAGGTGGTGGCGCTGGGCTGGTGCTTTGGGGAGCAGGCCTACCTGCGTAGCAGCTGGAACGTGCTGGACGGGCTGCTGGTGCTCATCTCCATCATCGACATCCTGGTGTCCATGGTCTCCGACAGCGGCACCAAGATCCTGGGCATGCTGAGGGTGCTGCGGCTGCTGCGGACCCTGCGCCCGCTCAGGTGCCCCTGCCAGGCACACCCTGATGGCCAGCACCCCATCTGCCCCTGCTTCCTGCCTGTGACCCCACCGGGAACCCTGCCAGCCACGCCTGGCATCACTTCTCACTTGGTTTAGCTATGGCCCCAGTGGTCTCCCTGCACAGGCACCCCGCTCGGGGACCTCCCCACGTGACACTCCTACAGGGCACACCATACAAGGGCCCATAGGCAGCTGCATGCCCTTCAGCTGCAGCTCTCCCTGTGGGGTACCCTTAGGAGCAATACTTGATTCTCCCTGTGAAGTGACAGACTCTGTTTTCTGCTTCCCCGCTTTTTGCCCCATCGCAGGGACTACCCACCAGTAACACTTCTAGCAATGGATCTGCACTGTTAGGAGACCCTCCCCAATCAGACAGTCACCCCGAACCCCAACTGAGAGTCAGAAATTTCCATGGGTGGGGACGTGGATAAGACAGATACTGACTGACCAGTGAGGTTTTCCTGGCTGCAATAATCCGTCTCCCTGCCCTCTACACGCTGCACACAAGTTTATCTACCCATCCCCACAACCTACTGCATCCCTAGGTTGAGTCACCACTCAAACCCCATCCTAGAGGTCCAGGTGTGGGGGTGGGTGGGGGGTCTCTGCACAGTGAGCCCAGAAGGCCAACCTCTTCCCTTCACTAGAGCCCAGGATGGGGACCAGTGAACCAAGACGGGAGGGGGTGGCAAGCAAGGCCAGAGAATGCCTGAGCCAGGAACCCCTCTTACCCGCCTCCCTCCCTCCCCAGGGTAATCAGCCGGGCACAGGGGCTGAAGCTGGTGGTGGAAACGCTGATGTCCTCGCTGAAGCCCATTGGCAACATTGTGGTCATCTGTTGTGCCTTCTTCATCATATTTGGCATCCTGGGGGTGCAGGTTTGTGGGGGTCCAGGGCCAGCTGTCAGCAGAAACCTGAGGTGTGGCCTGCCTCTTGGCCTGGATGCTGTGGCTCCAGGAGCTGCTGCTGCCTTTATCCTAGAAAAGCCTTGAAGCCAAAGGCCCTCAGGCTCCTTCGCCTCCTGGGCATTTTGCAGAAAACTGGGAGACCGGAAGAGGCCCCCAAGGGGAGAGAGCCTTGAGGGGCTTCTGACCAGTGCCGCTTAGGCTGCTGCTCTGCCCCCTCACGCACTTCTCCGAGTTCAGACGCTGGCCTTGGCCTGCAGTCTGCTCAGGGGTCCCCTCCCTCCTTCCCCTACTGGAGCCAGTGGGCTTCAGGCCAGGCCTGGGGATCCAGGGCCCAGACAGCTGGGCCAGGTTAGCAGTGAGCTGGCAGGCAGGCGGGTGCAGACCCCAGACGAGGCAGTAAGTGGGGGCTGCTGGGGAAACTTGGCCTCTGGCCCAGGGAGGGAACTTGGCTTTGGAGGAAAAAGAAAGGGAGCTGCCTACAGGATTTAGCAGGCACCTCCGGGAGCCAGGGGAGCCCGTTCATCCCTCTCCTCCAGAGTACCCCTCCTCGCTCCAGGCTCCAGACATTTCAGCCGTAGCATAGACAGCTGGCGGTTGGACCAGAGGGAGCTTCTGGTTGGCTGCCCCCTCCCTCCCCCCTCTTTGGCTTCCTGGGGTCTCCACTCTGCCTTGGGCGGGGGAGGTATTCTTGGGTTTCCTCAAATTCTCTGGCTCCAGAGACCAAGCCAGAATACATTTGCTAAGACTGTGTGGTGCCCCTCTGCACACCCAGTGCCCTTCCGCTTCTTACTTCTGGCCAACTTAGGCCCCCTGGTCCTCCTGTCCCTTAGGCCCTTCCCCACAGGCATAGCCTGGTCTGTTCTAGAGTGAGGGTGAGCTTTCCAGTCAGAAGGACCTGAGCCTGAGCCCCATTTTCGCCCCCTTCTGATTGTATAAACTTAGTGAGTGAATTTACTTCTCTGAACCTCAGTTTTCCTCATCTGTTGAGTGGAATCCATATACCTTGCCCACCCCCACCATTAAACCAGATCTCTTGGCCCTCCCACAGCGTGTCTGATTCAGTGGGTCTGGAGTGGTCCTGAGAATTTGTATTTCCAGCACGTTCCTGGATGATGCTGATGCTGCTGTCCAGGGACCCCACTTGGAGAATCACTGGCCTCCCCCTTCGTAGGAGGGGGAGGCCTGTCCCCCTCCTTCCACCCTTTCCCAGTCCCCTCCCCTTTCCTTCCTCTCCAGGGACTCTGCTCCAAGGAGCCTGGAGGAAGGGGTGCCCACAGGGGAGGTCACTGTCAGTATGTCTCTGACTTGACCGAGCACCTGGCCCTCACCTAAGGTGTGCCTGGAGCTCTCAGGGCTGGTCTGGGCTTCCTGTGCTCACAGCTCACTTCTTTCTCTGTCTCTGGTTATGTGTGTGTTCAGCTCTTCAAAGGGAAGTTCTTCGTGTGCCAGGGCGAGGACACCAGGAACATCACTAACAAGTCTGACTGTGCTGAAGCCAGTTACCGGTGGGTCCGGCATAAATACAACTTTGACAACCTCGGCCAGGTGAGTCCCAGGCTCTAAGGTGGAGGTGGGAGAGGTGGCAGGAGTCTGGGGAGGATGCAAGTCCACGCTTAATGATGCACGCGGGGCAGTTGGCTCACCTCTGTTTCATCATTAGTGAATGGGTCCTAGTGGGATCTCCATGCAGTGAGATGATGTATTTCTTTAGCACGGTACAAGGTACACGGTACAAGGTACACGGTACAAGGTGTATTGTCAAAATGATTCTTTTTCTCATTCCACATTCATAGAAACAGAAATGTAGAAAATGAAATAGCTCGCTCAGTTTTGCTGGTTTATTTCCCTGCCTCACTCTGGTTTTGGTTTCTGGATTTCCAGAACTCTGGGGTCCATTGCTCTACCTGGCCGAGGTCATCTCCCATGTCTCTTCTGGCTTCATAGCAGCCATGGAGCCTTGGGACAGAGAACTCTCATGGAGCCTGGAGTGTGACTCCAAGCTAACCTCTGAAGGCCTAGGGTCCCCCAAGCTATTGCCAGGAGGTGCTTTGGGGGTCACTGGTGGGTGTCTTGGCTATACATCCTAGGTTTCAAATGGTCCTTTCCTCCCCTTCCCCCCAGGCCCTAATGTCCCTGTTCGTGCTGGCCTCTAAGGATGGCTGGGTGGATATCATGTATGATGGGCTGGATGCTGTCGGTGTGGACCAGCAGGTAGGGCTGAGGTGGGCAGTATCCATCTTTGGATTCAGGTCACTCACAATGAGCCAACTCCAGGCGTGATGCATGCAGGCAGTGGATAGAAAGACCACAGCAAAGCAGGTTGGCAAAATGCCATCCAAGAGGTATTATGTCTTAATATCAGAGGCTGTAACTGGTGGCCTGAGGACAAATGTGGGCTTGCTTTATTGGCTTGCAACATATTTAAATTTTTTTAATTAGTGATAAACAATTAAACAGCTTCCCTGGTAGCTCATATGGGGAAGGATCTGCCCGCCATGTGGGATACCCAGGTTCGATCACTAGGTTGGGAAGATCCCCTAGAGAAGGGCATGGCAGCCCACTCCAGTATTCTTGCCTGGAGAATTCCATGGACAGAGGAACCTGCTACAGTCCATGGGGTCACAAAGAGTTGAACATGACTGAGTGACTAACACTACCACTAAACAATTAAAAATTGACAAGTTTCACATGAAAAATCCAGATTTGGGTCTGCTCAAGTCCAAAGATCTGGAAACACTGGACTTGTATTCCCTAAGGTCAGGAGTCAACTGAAACAAAAAACAACTCTATGCTTTTGGATAGAACATCCACTCTCTACTTTGCCACAGTCCCCAAACCTCTCTACTGGCTAACGCCAAATGCATACCATTCATTAACATCACCTGATGGATCTGTGTATAACTGAGTGTGCAGGCCCTGTCTTAAGGAACCCAGGCTGGGGGGCAGCACCTGTGACAGTTACCCTCAGGCTAATATCTTCACTTGTCCTTCCTGCTCCCCACCAGCCCATCATGAACCACAACCCCTGGATGCTGCTATACTTCATCTCGTTCCTGCTCATTGTGGCCTTCTTTGTCCTGAACATGTTCGTTGGTGTGGTGGTGGAGAACTTCCACAAGTGTCGGCAGCACCAGGAGGAAGAGGAGGCCCGGCGGCGGGAGGAGAAGCGTCTACGGAGACTGGAGAAAAAGAGAAGGAGTAAGGAGAAGCAGATGGCTGGTCGGTAGTCTTTCCACATCTCTCTGAGTCGTACTTGACCTTGGCCTTGCGACTGTAGGGGGCCAGGGGCTGGGGCTGGGGCAGGGAGAAGATGCTCCCACCCCATCCCCACCTCCTTCCCCTCGAGAGCATGTCAGCCTTTAGAGCCTGCATGAAGCAGACCGGTTCAGCCCTGAGGGGTAAGGGAGCTCTCCTCCGCGGGCCTCCCGGTCTCAGCATCGTGCTCCCCAGATGATGCCAGTGGGAGCTGAGGCACAGTCCCTCCCAGCCTGACTCTGAGAGGAGCCTCATGGGATGAACACCCCGCTTCATTGCCCTGTGCCGGTATCCAGGGATCCTGACCTTGGCACTTGGCACCTTACCATACCCCACGGTTGGTGAGCAAGCATCTTCAACCTGCGGCTGCCCAGTGTCTATAGCTGATGGGCAAGGCCTTGGCAGAACGTGCAGATGGACCATGGCGGGCAAACCCCAGACCGCTCCTTTCTCCCTGTTTCCAGCAAAACTCCCTGGCTTCCCGATTGTCTTTTTTTTTTTTTTGCTAAGCTGTTCAAAAATACCCACCCAGCTCAGGGAGGGTCTGAGGTCACAGGAACTCTAAACTCATGACGCTCTGGCCTTAGACCCTTTAGCCCTTCATCTACGACCTCCAACATCTCTTGCCATTGACCGGGTGAGGCCCCTACCCCAGGCCTCCTCACACTCCTACTATGGGTGGCCAAGACTAAGCGAAAGACTGCAGATTCCAGGACACAAGGCGTGAGTGCGGGTCCTGTTGTGTCCCCATGTGTCTCCAGGTGTGTCTGCACTTGAGTCACCTCCCTATCTTCAGGGCTCCTGCCTGTCTGTCTGGTACTCAACAATCAATCAGTGTAACTCTGTCTCAGTCGCCCACGTCTCTCTGAGTGTCTTTATGTGTGGGTTTTTCTAAGCTTTTGTGTGTCTGTCTTTCGTCTGCGGGTTTCCCCTCTTCTCTCCACCCTTTTACAAACCGTCTTCCTTACGCCGATAAGATGCACATGGTGCTCTGAGTTTTCCCTTTGGTTTGTTACAATGTGAGTACTATCAAGCAGGTGGAGGGCTGTGGTGCCCCCAGTGCCTGGCTCTAGGGCATCTGGAGCCAGGGGAGGGGTGCTGGGGGCTGTGAAATGAAGCGGGCAGGACAGAGCTCATGCTCCCTGTGAGAGGGGCCGCTCTAGGGTTAGGACACTGACCTCTAGGCAGCAGCTCTGGGATAGGGGTCCCATCTTGGTTCCTGGTGGACGACTGAGGCTGAGCAGGCGTGCTGCCCCCAGCAGCCATGCTCCCGCCCCTCCTCCATCTGCCCATCCTTGCAGTCTGTCTTCTCGGCAGGACATCTGCAGATGGAACTCTTTTGGCAAGAGGTACCTGTGGCCCTGCCTGACCAGCTGGCTCCCCTTCTGGGGTCTGCAGCCTTCTCAGGTGCAGCTGAGGCCACAGCACGGGAAGGAGTGGACATCTGTTCTGAGGACAGGCTTCCTCCTCTCCTCAGGCCTCTGACTCCCTGCCCCTGGGACCCTGATGAGCTGGCCAAATTGCTCAGCTTCCTCAAGTGCCCTGTGTCCGAGTTTGGGGCTGGTACTCAGGACCCGCCACCCTTGCTCAGCATGCCCTATTCATAGGCAGAGTGAGGGCCACAGCCCAGGGGAAGTGAGCTGCTAAGGGGACCCTGCCCAGCCCACCTGGTCCGGCCAGTGACCGATGTCGTGTTTCATTCTTTTAGATCTAATGCTGGACGATGTAATTGCTTCCGGCAGCTCAGCCAGCGCGGCGCCAGGTACTGCGTCTGGGGTTGTGGGTTCCAGGGTATGGCCCCGGGCGGTCAGGCCCACGTCATGTGTGTGGGCATCCTCTTTGCTCCCTCTCCATGGCTCACTGATTCTGTCTTCTCAGGGTGAGGGGTTCTGGGTTCTGTGGCATCCCGTAGGCCTGTGCCAGCTGGATGGGAGGTGAGGGCCTTATCAGGCCCCTCCAGCCAACTTCTCTTGGTGGCCCCTCTTTGTCTGGCCAGGCTTTTGAGGCCCTGCTCCCAGGCCCCTGCCACTTCTTCCCGTTCCTGTTCCTCCTGGGTCACACAGTTCGATTATTAGAGCTGCAAATCTCTCCCTCCTCCTTTTGTCTGAACGGGAGACTTTGATCCAAGCAAGCAGGATGAGAGGAGCAGAGAGGGAAAGGATTTGTTTTAAAAATGTAACAATGAATAATTGAACAGACTCATTATAGTTAAGTAATCGCAATGGCCACATCATTGCTACAAACAGCAGGAATTGGGACTCGAAGATCTGAGTTAGCCACAAGCTTCTCCCCCAAAAGCCAAAGATTTGGGAGTGAGTTGGATTTGAGAGCTGTGTCTTTGGGAGGGCCCTCCTGGTTTCGCCTGCACCCTCCCCTGCCGCCCCCCACCAGTCCTCTGGCCCCTGCTCTCCCAACACGGCCCCCAGACAGCGGTTCAGAGGTTCTGAGAATCTGTGAAGTGTTGTGGGGCCTCATTACCCAGCTCCCATGTCTCCATCCAGTGGTTCCCAACCTGATTGTCGCTAAGGGCCCCCCTTGTCGTCTTCTACAACAGACCCCACAATGTAAAAGACCTTCTCTGAAGTTGAGAGCATGTCAGTAATGACTTTGTTTCACTGGTTTTACTAATCAAAGACACATCTAATTGCTAATCAGGGCTTATGAGCTGCAGAAGCTTTCACGTTGAACGACGGCAATGACCATTTTGCCATTAAATTAGTCTGTGGGGTCTTAGCACAGGCATGTGTATGATTGCATTTAAGCTTTTAAAAATATTGAAAAGAACCTCAGGACCCCCATGTGACTGCCTCCTCAGGCTGGTGAGGGCTTGGGACTCCAGACTGGGAACCACGGGCTGTACCTTTCTCTACTTTTCCAAATTCCCTCAGGAGCCAGGCTCCTGCAGACACTACCCTGTGGGTGCTGGGCTGCCTGATCACAGGGGAACCCCTCAGCTGCCATCTGAGAGGTCATGCCTGGGGCCCTGGGTGGGTTGATGATGTTTGGCATTGAGAGACTACCTGGGGGCTCAGGAGGCTCCAGCCTCTTTGTATCTGGATTGCCTGGGCCTGCATCTCTGGATTGGGCTGTACTGTGCGTTCCTGATGTTAAGGAATGAGAGGAGGGTGAGGGGACGTGGCCTTCAGCTTCTCCCTTATGGGTTCACCTAGTCTGTACACTGATGTGTCTACACAAACACACTCGTACCAGAATACCATGGGTCTGGCCTCAGAGGCTTCTCCCCCAAGAATCGACCCATGCAGATTTCCATGGCCCCTGAGACCATTTTCTGACACACCCACTTAATGATAAGCGCTCTTTTTATTCTCATACTGTACCCCCTTTGGGGGATAGTCTGCCATGCTCCTATGGGCAGAGGCAGGTATGTACACTCGTTACAATAGCATCTCACCTTTGCAGCTGGTGATGAAGACTCAGAGACCCCAAACAAGGGCTCAGACCGCCCCTATCCCTCTTACCTAAACCTGTTGTTCTGTGTGGTCTATACTAGAGTTTTTCAAACTTTTCTGTGCCTAAGAATCCCCCAGAGGACATAACTGAGCCCCACCTTAGAAACTCTCACAGTGGTCCAGGGTAGGACCTGAGCATCTGTATCTCCAGTTAGCTTACAAGGCATGGCAATGTTGGTGCATCAGTGTATCCAGTGGTGTGATGGGGATGAAGTCGCACCCACTAGTCTGGAGTTGTTGGAATCAAACATGTGCACCATACTTCCCTGCCAGCACCTCTGCCACCCTGTGCTGTCCCCAGCAGGAGCGGAGTAGCCAGATCCCAGGGAAAGGCTGAAGGGAAGAGTCTGCTTATCAGGAAAAAGACCTGATGAGACACCTCGGTCCAGCCCAGCTTCCAGGTGGAGGGAGAAAACGGGGCTGCCTCCAGCACCAGATCGGCTCCCCTAGGCCTCCTATGGCACCTGCCTCCAACTCGCCCTCTCTCCTTCTACCAGGACCCACTGATCAGGCCTGGCTACAGCCGCTGAAGTTGGCCTCTGTCTTGGGGGCCAACTCGGAGTGACCCCTGCCTTCCTCCTATTCCACCACTCCCCTGGGCAAACCCTCTGCCCTGGCTGTGCCTCGGGCTCCCAGTGACCCCTACTAACTCTCTGTGCCTGTACCGCTCACTCACAGCCTTGCACCCCTCCTGCCCCTCTCCTCTGCTCCCGCCCCTGACTGGGGGCCGGGCAGTCCCGGTGGGTGCTCTTCTCCTCACTGTCTGCCTCTGGTGTTTTCTCTGCCTAAGGTAACTCTTACAGGTCGGAGGCAGGGAGGCAGGGCCAGGGCAGCCGAAATGCCACTGACCACTGGTCCAGACCCCCTCCTGGGCTACAGCGGGAGCCATTAGAGCAGCAGACCCACCCAAGGCTCTGGCCAGGGGGGTCTCAGTTCCTTCTCTGAGCCCGGATTCTTGCCTGTAGGACCGAGGGCCAGGAACAAAACAGGTGCCATCATCCAGAACGCAGTAGTGAGAGTCTTTGGACAAACTCTGAGGGCACCCTCTGGGCCAAAGACCCAAGGCTTTGTGTCTAAACCCACCTGGCAGCTGGTGAGGGACTCTTCAGGTACTGGCTTGGTCGCTGCCTCACAATGTGTAAATAACTAACTTTTTGATGGGCCTCCTTCTCTCTCTCTGTAAAACAAAGGGATTGGCCTAGGAGATGCTTATCAGGTTGGCCCTGGTGCCCTTTGGACCTGGGCCCTAATAGAGGGATTTCTGGTAGCCTTGGCACCTGCTGGTCTGGGGTCAGGGCTGAGGGTGGAGGGGTTCTGTACACACCTCAAGGGCCTGGGACTGGTCTCTGTGACCAGATGTCCTGCCTCAGTCGTCCTACCCCACCCTCCCTCTGGGCCTCCACCCGCTCCTTGGGCTCCTAGAGCAAGGCCAGGAGGAGGTGGCAGCAGCTCCATCTGGCCTGGGGCTGCCTACACAGACAGACTGGGGTGACAGGGGAGGGGGACTCTAACCTCTCCTCTGCATTGTCTCAGCTAATAACAGGGCTAATAAGGAGCCGCTTTTTCTAACCTAATTGTATTCAAACATTTTAGTTAATTCTCCATTCATATTTTAGCATAATGGGATGGAGTGCTCTCGGCACTTATGGAGATTAATGCAGAGAAAGAGTTCCAGCTGCTAAGGCAACGCTGGGCGACTAGCGCCCTCTTGTTCTGTGGGTACTGAAAGAAGGAAGGAAGAGGCTGGCTCACCACGTCTACCTGCCATGGTCGCATCACTGTGTGGATGACCTGTGGCCTTCTGTTGTCCCCTGTCCCTGGCCTCTCCACCCCCATCTTCCTGGGGGCCCAGAGGGCCGCCTGAGCAAACAAAGTCATGGTTGGCTGGCCCATCTCTGGAAACAAAAATATGGCCTAATGCATCCTACAGCGCACCAGAACACTTGGGACTTTCTGCCTCTCGGTTATCCACACCTCAAGGCTGATGCTGGAGCGTGGCAGCTGGTGAGGCTGAATGGGCAGCTCTTGGGCACTCTTCTTCCTTCGGCCTTTGGTGGGGGCCCACCCAGGCCACTCCTTGCCTCAGTTTACCTCTCTGTTGAGTAGTCCTGCATGGGAAAGAACAGTTATAACCAAGCTGGCCTGAGCCAAAGCTTCCTGCCGCCCCGGCACAGTCCTCAGAGGCTACAGCCCTGGCTGGCTTCCGCCGTAGACTTCCTGAGGGGGAAGAGCTGTCTGGGACCTGAGGTTGCCCCAAGGCCCACATGCGGTGCCTCTTCTTTCTTTGTGGCTGCCTCTGATGACATGTATCCCCAACTTGGTGTGGCCTTTCCTCACACCTGGAGGAGGGGCCCCCTGTAATCTCCTGCCCCCAGATTTGTTCTGCCTGCTTAGTAGGTCAACCTGGTACTGTAATTTTTATAACTAAGTGGTTCACTAATTGCAAGAGAAATATGATGCCTCTGACAGATCTCAGACAGTGCTTCCTGCTTCCAGCCCAGCCTGCAGGGGAAGCTGCCCTGGTCCCCAGGAGCAGACTGGGCACTGCCTCATTAGAAACTGGGTGAGCCCTGTGGCCTCCCCTCTGCCCTCTCCCGAATGAGGGCTCAGGAGTCCCAGGCCCTGCCCCCACCGCGGGAGGCACTCTGAGCGGGTTGGTGCAGTCAGCCGAGAAGACATCCAATTTCCAATCTCTGGTTTTATCTCCAAATCCCAGCCCTGTTGTAATCTCCTCTGCTCCCCTCAAGAGTCTAAGCTCGGTAAAGGAGTAAGAGCCTTCACCTCTCCATTGATGGAGCTTCCTCTGAAGCCAATAAGATCAGCTGTTTTTCGTCTGTTGATCGGACCTTACTGCAGAACACCAAGTTGAGGGTGTTACGAGGGGCTGCTGGATTTTGGAGGCTGCCTCGGGGAGGGGGCTCACCCGGTGTCTACTGTGGGTGGGGAGCTCCGCATGCCCTGACCCCTTCTGTGCCCAACCACAGCCAGTAGAACAGATGCTTGAAGGGGAAACACCAAGAGAGGGGCTCCTGCCCAAAAAGAGCAGTGCGTGGAGCGTGAGGATGCTGATGACGCTGGAATGTTTCAGCTCTGGCATTAGAGGCTGGTGGCTGTCAGGGACTGTGGGTGGAGGGGGCACAGCGGGCGGGGCCCAATGGCTGCTCTGTTCTCCCTGCTGCCCCACCAGAAGCCCAGTGCAAACCATACTACTCAGACTACTCCCGCTTCCGGCTCCTTGTCCACCACCTGTGTACCAGCCACTACCTGGACCTCTTCATCACGGGTGTCATTGGGCTGAACGTGGTCACTATGGCCATGGAGCACTACCAGCAGCCCCAGGTAGGACTGAGTGACTGGCCGTCCGGGCCCCACCTCCAGTCATGAGCCTGTGGGTGAAGCTAGCCCAGCCCGAGTCAGGGCCCCTCAGGCGAGTGCTTGGCCCCCTACAGGGGATCCTCTTGTACCACTTGCAGGGACTGGTGAAGGTCAGTCTTGTCTTGGTTTTACAGATAAGGACACTGAGGCTCAGAGAGGTTAGTTGACTTGACCGACTAACTGGGAAGTAAAGGACCTGGATTCTTCACCCAGCAGATATTTGTTACCTTAAATAAATAAAGATGTTCGGTGTTCTTGACCTGTGAGATAAAGAAGGCAGATCTGTGCCCACCCTTTTGGAATTTAGATTCTAGTCAATATCCAGCTCCAAACCTCACCAGTGATCTTCGAATCAGCTTCCATCATCTGCCTTCCACATCTTAGTTTTCCCATCTGTAAAATAGGAACATTGAATTGACAGTGCAAAAGACCCCTTTCACATCTAGCATTCTGTGCCTTCCAGCACATTCTCATGTGAACTCCTCACCATCCCTCAAGGAGAGAGATCTTTCAACACAGAGTTTGGATCATACATGTGAATGATACACCTACTCTATCCTAGAGTGGTGGCCAATGATCAGTGGCCATCATGGTGAGAAGGGAGGAAAGTTCCCCTTAGACTCACACTGTCTCCCAGATCTGGGAGGAATGATACAAGGATCAGGACAGGCATCTTCCCTGAGCCTTAAGAGATCTTGAGTCTTGCCCCCATCCCTGCCAGATCCTGGATGAGGCTCTGAAGATCTGCAACTATATCTTCACTGTCATCTTTGTCTTGGAGTCAGTTTTCAAACTGGTGGCCTTTGGCTTTCGACGGTTCTTCCAGGACAGGTAAAGGGGAGTGGGGGATGAGGGATGGAGGATTGGGCACATGTTTCCCAGGGAGATGCCCCAGAGCATCTAGTGCCTGAAGACCTTTCTTGACTCTTGGGGTTCAGACTCCACTCCAGGACCTACCCAGGGCAAATGGTGCAGTGTGGGTGGGGGGATATCCAGGGCCTGGGAGATGGGAGGGGAGAGAGGGAACCTGGCAAGAAAGGGCCTGGGGACAGCGAAAATCAGTGTGGCCTAGACTGGAGCCAGACTGCCTGGACCAGATCTGAATCCTGGCTCCATCACTTAGAAGCTGATAACTTTGGGTAAGTTACTTAAGTTACTTAATCTCTCTCAGTTTCTTCAGCCATAGAATGGGATATAATAACTGTATCTACATCACAGAGTTGTGAAGATTTTGAGTTCCTATTTGTAAAGTCTATCAAATAGCATTTGACACAGAGCAAAACCATATAAGTACTAGATAAAAAAGCAAATGAATAAAAATGAAAAGCAGAGGCCCTAGAACTAAAGTCCTAATCCTACCTGTGGTACCAACTGGCTGTGTGACCGTAGCTAAAGCACACCTTCTCTGCAGGAGGGAAAGGCTGGACAGGCTGACCTCCACTCTCCTTTCTGTGGCTGAGAATGTGCCACTCATGTTGCCACAACTACCCCCTCCTCTGCAGTGCCCCCTTCAGGGAGCTGTGTCCTGGGCTTTCAGGTGGAACCAACTGGACCTGGCCATTGTGCTGCTGTCTATCATGGGCATCACACTGGAGGAGATTGAGGTCAATGCCTCGCTGCCCATCAACCCCACCATCATCCGCATCATGAGGGTGCTGCGTATTGCCCGAGGTCAGTGCCGGCTGCCTACCCACCATGGCCACTCTTCCAGGGTGACCTGCTCAAGGGGAGATAGCAGAGGTCAGCTCTGACTGGCTAGGGAGGAGGTGGGTGTGGGTCCCATTAGCCTTTCTTCTAGCCTCTGCCAAAGGGGAAGGGTGGGGGTGAAGCCATGGCAGCCTGGCTGGCTGGGGCTGGCCATCCCACCAGCCCCAGCCCCGGCCCTGGCCCTGGCTCCACCAGCTGTGTGACCTGGGACCTAGAGGGGCTAGCTCATGACATTGTCCTGTTCTGCAGTGCTAAAGCTACTGAAGATGGCTGTGGGCATGCGGGCACTGCTGGACACAGTGATGCAGGCCCTGCCCCAGGTAGCTGGGAGGGGGGAGTGGGCGGGAGGGGTCCTCTCGGGAAGGAGAGCGTGCTCTCTGAAGGGGTGGGGGAAGCTGGCTCGGAGATCTAGCGGCACCTTTTCCATCGCTTTTCCTCTTTTCCAGGTGGGGAACTTGGGACTTCTCTTCATGTTGTTGTTTTTCATCTTTGCAGCTCTGGGCGTGGAGCTCTTTGGAGACCTGGGTGAGTTGGGGTAGGGAGGGCAGAGGAGCCAGGGTTGGAGACTCAGGGACTCCTGGGCTAACTCAAGCCTCTCTCTGCTTCCCTCCTCCTCAGAGTGTGATGAGACACACCCCTGCGAGGGCCTGGGCCGGCATGCCACCTTTCGGAACTTTGGCATGGCCTTCTTGACCCTCTTCCGAGTCTCCACAGGTGACAACTGGAATGGCATCATGAAGGTGAGAGCCCCCCACAGTGAGGCCCCTCCCAGGGCTGGCTCTGGCCTCAAGGAGATGGCCCCACTTCTTGGCTCAGGTTAAACTCGATGTGAATAAAAGCATGTAACCTTCTACCCTCCATGCTGGAACCCTCTGGGACTCCCTCTCCCCAGGACATTCTCTAACTCACACTTCCCAGGACAGTGGCTCATGCTCTTCTGCCCCTTGGACACCATCACTCCCTCCTCCTGCCCTTCCTGTCCCCCTGCAAAGCTCTGTGACACTGGACATCTGACTTCCTGTGAAAGCTCTGTCCACTGTCCTCCCAACCTCAGTCCTCTAACCTGCCTCTCCAGGACACCCTCCGGGACTGCGACCAGGAGTCCACCTGCTACAACACGGTCATCTCCCCCATCTACTTCGTGTCCTTCGTGCTGACAGCCCAGTTTGTGCTGGTCAACGTGGTCATTGCCGTGCTGATGAAGCATCTGGAGGAGAGCAACAAGGAGGCCAAGGAGGAGGCTGAGCTGGAGGCTGAACTGGAGCTAGAGATGAAGACACTCAGCCCGCAAGCCCCCTCACCACTGGGCAGCCCCTTTCTCTGGCCTGGGGCCGAGGGCCCCGACAGCCCTGGCAGCCCCAAACCCGGGGCCCCACATGCCACACCCCACACTGGAGCGGCCTCCCACTTCTCCCTGGAGCACCCCATGGTGAGCAGAGAACCCCTCCTCCGCCTCTAGGGAATGTGGAACAGAGACGGGTGGTGTGGGTGCTCAGCAGCTCGGCAGGTGGATGGTGTACGGGGACCGGGCAGCAAGCAGACCCTAGGGCTCCTCCTGAATCCCTTGACCCTCCTGCCTCGATGTGGAGAGGTAAGCAGGCCCTTGCCTGTCCCCAGAGACGGCTGCCCACACTCGCAATGTGGGGCCACCCCAGCAAGCCGTTGTTACACTTGCTGGCTCATCCGTCCTGGCACCTCCAGCTTGGCTGGGACTTCCCTTCCTGGCGTTTAGGCTCAAGGTTGTTTTCTCTTTCCTACCTGTTTCTCTCTTACCCCTGCCCTGATTTTGCCGAACTTCTTTCCTTCCCCACCCTCAATCTGCCTGATGCCATCTCTCAATCTTTTTTCCTGATCTTTTCTTTCTTTCCCCTTCTCTTCCTCTGGGCTCTTCTCATTTTCCATCTCCTATCTGTCCTTCCTGCTCCCACACCTCTGTCTTCCCCACCTTGCCCACTGCCCCCTTTCTGTGTCTCTCTGTTGTTATTGTTATGCGCGCGCATGTGTGTGCATACATGTGACCTCTTTCTCTCTGTCTCTTCTCAACCCCTGCCATACACTGCCCATCACTGCCCCTCTGACCCCCACTCCCCTGACTCTGGCTCCCCTTATGGGCTGGCCCTCCCCAGGACAGACCGCTGTTTGACACCATATCCCTGCTGATCCAGGGCTCCCTGGATGGGGAGCTGAAGCTGATGGACGAGCTGGCAGGCCCAGGGGGCCAGCCCTCTGCCTTCCCTCCTGCCCGCAGCCCAGGCGGCTCCGACCCACAGGTTACTGTGTCCCTGTGCTGTGCCCCTTCCCCTGACTGTGCTGGGCTGTGCCATGCTGTGCCATGCTTCTGGGGAGGTGGGGGTGTTTCCTGCCCACTGGGTGTCTGGGGAAAAGAACAGCTTTGCCTCAGTTGAACCTTGGGCCTGGCAGGAGGTGGCCAGGGCTTCTTCAGGCTGAGATCCACCTCTGGAACACATAGTTGGAAGGTAGCGATGCTGAGATAACACTAATGAGGGAGAAGATTAGATGGAGGAGGGCTTTGGAGAGGGCAATCATAAGAAAGAACCTGGAAGGAAAGAGGAGCAGAAGACGAGTTGGCACTGGGTTAGCAGATGGTCAGAGTGATGAACGAGATCCAGGGGAGAGGTGCTGTGGGGGCGAGTGCGGGTGGCCAGGAGACCTGCTGAGGGACATGTCTTAGGCCACAGTCTGCTCCTTCTCCGCATCCACTGCCCTCCCGACTAGTTCTCTGTTTGGTGGCCTTTTAAGCTATGGAAACCGCTGGGCATGGTGGATGCTATCTGTAGCCAGTGGCTTCTGACCTGGCCCTGAGAGGGGATGGTAGGCTCTGGCCAGGAGTGGGTTCAAGGACCTCCTTTGAAATAGGACTTGGCTTCTTCCCTAACCCTGCATCTTCCCACAGCAGTACATGCTTTTCTCCTCCAATCCCATCTCAGTGGGGTCTTCTGCTTCCTGGGGTCCTCTTCCTTCTCCTCTTAGGACCTGTCTCGCCACCTTTGATCCCCTCCACTTGGAGGTGCACCCCAAAACCATCCTCCTAAGTCAGGGACTGCAGGAAAGCCCTTGGTAGACCCAGGGTGGAAGCAAGGAGACAGGTTTCAGCTGGAGATAGAAAGCCTAGTGTTCCATGGGCCATGATGGATGATGGCGTGGGCAAGCAGGTTCCCAGTACCTGGGACACCTGTTAGCCTGATCAAAGAAATGGACAGTGATCCTTAAATAGGAAGGGACCTTGCTCTAGGGTTCCTGACCTCTTGTTGGATTCAGTCTCAGATAGACTATAGGGTCCTGAACCTGGCAATGACCTGGAATGATCCCTGGGAGATCAAGTCCCTTCCTGAGTCCTCTCATCCTGAAGGAAGGTCATGGGGAAAGGTGCTGGGGGAGAAGATGTTGAGAAGGTGACCAGGCAGTCAGCTCACCTGGGAGCCATGGCCCCACTCTCCCCCAGGGTCCTGCAGGCCCTGAGGCCTAGCTGCAGATCCCAGGTGAGCCAGCCAGATGGTGTAGTAGCCCAACTGAGTGTGCCCATTTCAGACCAGTGAGAGGAAAGCCCTCCCAGAACCCAGGCTGGAGAGGGCAGGCGGAGGAGGGCCCAGGAGGGGAGATGCCAGAATCTGGGGGCAGGCCAAGTCCTGCCAGGCTTTTGGATGCAGAGAGAATAGGCAGAAAGCGGTCGTCAGGCTGGCAGCTTTGTCCCCAGCACCCCCTACGCTGCTCTGCCTTGCTGGGAGCAGAGAGGCGCTTTGCGGGCCTTTCTTCATTTTTTTTTTTTCTGGTATCTTCTTTATAAGAGTCAGAAGCCTTCCCAGCTCCCTGCTCCCTCTCTGGATGGTGGTAATGTGGGAGGGGCTGTCAAGATTCCCGCAGCATCTTTAGAACGTGTTTCTATGTCTCCTCGCTTTGTCAGTGTTTGCTCCAGCTCTTTGGTGCCTGTGCAGCCTCTCTGATCAGAGCAGGGGTTTGAAGTGGGGGGAGGGGAGGTGCTCTCAGTTTACTTGGGAAAGGGGTGGGAAGAGAAAGGAGGGCCTTTCTCCTTATGCTCTGTGAACAATGGGAAAAGAGGGGCTCTGTGTGTGTGTGTGTGTGTGTGTGTGTGCATGTGTGTGCGTGTACATGTGAGAGAGCGCACTGTCCTGGTTTCTTATGCCTGATCATCTCTCTCCCTGTCTAGATCCCTCTAGCTGAGATGGAGGCTCTGTCTTTGACGTCAGAGATTGTGTCTGAACTGTCCTGCTCTCTAGCTCTGACGGATGACTGTTTGCCTGATGACACTCACACACTCTTACTTAGTGCCCTGGAGAGCAATGTACATACACACAGCCCCCTACTGCTCCCCAGTCCCCCAGGGGCGGGCTGACTGCAGGGGCTCCAGGTCCCTCCCCCCTCACTCTGCTGTCAGCCCTACCCAGAGGCAGCACTTAGCGCCCAGTCTTTACTAAGGTCCCCCACTGTGGACAAAGAAATAAGATTCAATTGGGGCCTTGCCCAGATGGCCCAGGGCAGCAGTTGTGAAAGGGTTAATCCAGATACCCAGGAGTGACAGAGCTCAAAACAGAAGTGTCATCAGGCAGCTGACCAACTTGCCTGTCTGGCCACAGAGTTGGTTTTTGTATTTGGAGCCCCGTGCAGGCCAGTCCTCCCCCTTCCCTGCACCCCTCCTTCCCACCTCCCCTCTTCCCACCTCCTCCCAACATAAGCCATTCACCACCACGCAGTGGGTGAGAGCCACATCTCTGCTGCTAACACCATGCCCTTCTCCACCTGGGGGTGGGGTGGGGTGGCGTTCCTGTCTCCCCTGTCACTGTCCCTGGGTGTCCCCATGTCCAGAGGGGCTTCTTTGTGTTCTGACAGCTTCTCCACTTTTACCCAGCTCTCCCATCCACATCTAACAGTGAGCAGCCCCCTCCTCCCTACCTTCCCCTCCTCTTGGAACTTAAGGAGGGACAGGGGCCCATTTCTCACAGCAGGGCTCTGCTGACCATAGATTTGGGGTCCCTGGTGGTCTTGGAGTGGTTGGCAGAAGTGGAGCCTGGGGCTGAGAGAGGAAGCAGAGATCCAGACTGTTTTCTGACAGTCATTCTCAGGCCTGCTGGTACTATTTACCTGGCTGAGTCTGCAAGGGGACAGGAATCTATGGCCTCTCTGAGAACTAAGAATGGACGTGAGAACTAGGAATGAGAACTAGAGATGGAGAAATCTCTTGGGAACAAATCTCGTTTCCCTCCATCTGGGGTCAAAAACTGATGACTGCCTTTCTTTGAAATACGATTTAAAAAATCCACTCTCATCTCTAGTCTGTCCACTAAGGGAGGACCTGAAACCATGGTATCCAGGCCTTGCTCACCACCCACCACCTGCCAGAGTCATTGTTTAATTAAAGAGAGGTGGGGGGTAAACCAGCTGTGACCCATCCTTAGTGATCATCCGTCATTCAGCTCACATTAACCCAGCCCTTGTCTAGTGCTGGGTGCTGTGGCTGTGTTAAGAACTGGATGATGAAACAACTTCTGTTCTGCAGGGAGTCTCTGGCTGCCTCCTCTTCCACTCATTGGGAAGGTTCTCCTCCACTCATCAATCCCCCCATAGCCCCAGCACAGTAATTGAGATAGGGAGTATGTGCATGTTAAGTCGCTTCAGTCGTGTCCAACTCTTTGTGACCCTATGGACTGTAGCTTGCCAGGCTCCTCTGTCCACGAGATTCTCCAGGCAATCTCCAGGTGGGATGCTGGGGGCAGGTGGTTCTATTAGCTTTTAACTCTCCACTGTGCAGCTTCAGAGCCTCTCAGTGAGGCCTTGAGTATGAGTTCTTGGGCTGCCTGCAGGGCTGGGGGTTGGGGGCTGGGGGCTGCTCTCCGTCCTTTGAACACCTCCTCACCTCTCCGTCATCCCCAGTGGGAAGCTCCAAGATGTAGTATGAATAGTTTTCTGGGGGCAGGGCATCCTCCTACCCACTTCCTCTCTGTGTTTAGAAGGTTCATCCATGTGTCCTTCTCCCCAACCACATTCATCCCATCACCACGTTGTCCAGGGAGAGGATGGGGGCCAGGGTCTGGGTGGGGTGGTGGGCTTCTGATTCCCATCGCCAAGCTCTGCCTCAGTTACCCAATCTGATGCCCCTCTTCCTCCTACACCCCCCGCCCCGGCCCTATTCCTTTTGCAGATGGAGTCCCACCCTGAGGAGGTGCCTGTCATGCTGGGACCAGATCTGCTGACTGTGCGGAAGTCTGGGGTCAGCCGAACGCACTCTCTGCCCAATGACAGCTACATGTGCCGGGATGGGAGCACTGCCGAGGGGTCCCTGGGACACAGGGGCTGGGGGCTCCCCAGAGCTCAGTCAGGTACCAAGGCTGGGGGCAGGCCCACTTGGCTCACACTGGGAGATCCGCCCTTGCCTAAGCTCAGTCCTGCCCTCTGGAAGTAGGGGTACTGAGGCAGCCAAAGAGGCCTCTCCTACCTCTGAGGAGCTCCCAGCCTGAAGGGGTCAGCCGCTCCTGCCTGAGGGAGCCCCCAGCCTGAGGGGAGTGGCTTTCAATCCAGGGTGGGGATGGGGTGGTGAAAGCAGAGGCCCAGTTGGGGGAGGGTGGACAGTGGATGGGAGGGACTCAGGTAGGGGTCAGCACATTGACTGTCCAGGTCTTCTCTCTCCCCTCCCACCTCCCCTCACAGGCTCCATCTTGTCCGTCCACTCCCAGCCAGCAGACACCAGCTACATCCCGCAGCTTCCCAAAGATGCACCCCATCTGCTCCAGCCCCATAGTGCTCCCACCTGGGGCACCATCCCCAAATTGCCCCCACCAGGCCGCTCCCCTTTGGCTCAGAGGCCACTCAGGCGCCAGGTGAGCTGGTATAGTGGGTGGGTACGGGCCGGGACTGGCCTCTCTGTTGGGAATCCTAGGCTGTTGGTGATGATGAGGCTTGCCACTTCCATTCTCCCAGCAAACATTTATTGTGTGCCAATGACGTGCCAGACTGAGTTCTAGATGCTGGGGACACAACTCTAGGCACAGCAAAGTGGTCTGTGTCCCCTTGGGGACACAGAAGAGGCCAGAGACCAGAGAGGGTCATGGTTGTCCAGGGACACATGTCAGGTTGGAGACAGAACCTGAGTCTCTGGATTCCGTTTCCATGTGCAGAGTTGCCCCATGATTCTCTGTACTTGCAGACCTAGCTAAGGGGCACAAGGCATGTTTTGGGTGTCTCCACTTTTGGCGACTCCCAGGGCCCACCTTCCAGATCCCACACTCAAGGAGCACAGAACAGAGGCTTGGGTAGCCAGGTGAGGCTTGTCTGCCCCCCTGTGACAAGGCCGTTGCTCACGCTGAGTGTGTCCCATGTGTGAGGATAGCTACATGAGCATCTGCTTCAATCCATCATCACCTTTGGGAGCAGGCACAGTCCTCATCTGCTTCGCAAATATTCACTGAGCAGCCTCCATGTCTGGGCACTGGGGACAGGGACAAATGAGACAACCCCTGCCCTCTGGAGCCCATGGTATAATAGCAGAGACAAATACCCCATCAGGTCACTGCAGCAACAGGGTGCTCACATGTGTGGTGCAGCAGAGAGCAGAAGAGGAAGGAGTCAGTTTTACTTTGGGGTAAAGATGGTCGATGGACATGAGTTTGAGTAAACTCTGGGAGCTGGTGATGGACAGGGAGGCCTGGCGTGCTGCGATTCATGGGGTCACAAAGAATCGGACACGACTGAGCGACTGAACTGAACTGAAAGTTGGTCAGGTATTACATCACAGAGCACTTGAGCCCATAAAGTCAAAGGATGCTTGCCATTTGGTAAGGGTGTGTAAGGCCAAAGAAATAGCCTGTGCAGAGGCTGGGAAGTGTGAAGGAGACAGCTGGGGAGCAGAGCTGGCCCAGTGCTTTCTGCGATCGCATGGGCTGGGAGCTGTATGGAGCAATTCCTGCAAGCCTGGGGGTGGGGACACAATGGACAACAGAGAGCAAATAGTGCATAACCCCTATCCCCCAGTAAAAGCAGACACTGAGAACCCCTGCTTAAGGTGGTCCTGCAACTCCTTGGAGGGGAAGGAGGGGTTGTCTGACCTGCCAGGTGGGACAGTTCATGGGGGAGAGGAAGCCTGTAGGCTGAGCCCTCCCCCCACCCCATACAGGCAGCAATAAGGACGGATTCCCTGGACATTCAGGGCCTGGGCAGCAGGGAAGACCTGCTGTCAGAGGTGAGTGGGCCCTCCCCGCCGCTGGCCCGGGCAGCCTCCTTTTGGGGCCGCTCCAGCACCCAGGCTCAGCAGCATTCCCGCAGCCAGAGCAAGATCTTGAAGCACATGCCCCCGTCAGTCCCCCGCCCAGGCCCAGAACCCACGTGGGGGAAGGGCCCACCAGAGACCAGAAGCAGCTTAGAACTGGACACGGAGCTGAGCTGGATTTCAGGAGACCTCCTGCCCACGGACAGCCAGGAGGAAGCCCCGTCCCCACGGGACCTGAAGAAGTGCTACAGCGTGGAGGCCCAGAGCTGCCCGCGCCGGCCTGCGTCCTGGCTGGATGAACAGAGGAGGCACTCCATCGCAGTCAGCTGCCTGGACAGTGGCTCCCAACCCCACCTGGGCCCCGATCCCTCCAGCCTTGGAGGTCAGCCTCTAGGGGGAGCTGGGAGCCGGCCCAAGAAGAAACTCAGCCCACCCAGTATCTCCATAGACCCCCCAGAGAGCCAGAGCCAGGGCCCTCGGCCCCCACCCAGCCCCGGTGTCTGCCTCCGCCGGAGGGCTCCGTCCAGCGACTCCAAGGATCCCTTGGCCTCCGGCTCTCCCGACAGCATGGCTGCCTTGCCCTCCCCAAAGAAAGACGTGCTGAGTCTCTCCGGTTTATCCTCTGACCCAGCAGACCTGGACCCCTGAGTCCTGCCCCACTCTCCCACTCACCTCTCTCCACTGGGTGCCAAATCCTAGCTCCTCCTCCTGGGCTGTATTCCTGAAAGGTTCCACATGGGCACCGAGGAGGTGCTCCTCCTTGCCTCAGTGGCGCTGGGCACCGGCAAGCAGAATTTCTAGAGTTAACAGCAGCAGCCCCGGCTCTGGACAGCCCTGGCCACCTTGGCTCCAAGCGGAGAGAGAGGCCCAGCAGAGCTGAGGTTCCCGACACCAGGAGCTGTTGGGAGAAAGCAATACGTTTGTGCAGAATCTCTATGTATATTCTATTTTATTAAATTAATTGAATCTAGTATTTGCGGGATGTACGACATTTTGTGACTGAAGAGATTTGTTTCCTTCTGCTTTTATGTGTCTCAGAATATTTTTGAGGCGAAGGCGTCTGTCTCTTGGCTATTTTAACCTAAAATAACTAGTCTAGTTATGTTCCCTCTTCTTGCAAAGCACAAGCTGGGATTGAGAGTGCATTACAGCCTTGATGGGGGCCCATCCTCAGTGGAGAGCAAGAACCATTTTGGAAACTGTAATGTAACTTATTTTTTTCCTTTAATCTTGTCATCATTTTCTGTAGGGAAAAAAAAAGAAAAAAAAAGATTTTACAAATGAAATGGAACCTTTTTATATATACATACATACATATCTATATCTATAATAAAGTAATTTTCAAAAATAAAAAGTTAATCACGGTCCACAGTAAAAGCCAAAGAGACAGTTAGGCATTTCCAGATGGCACTGGACAAAGATTCCTGGAGATGGGGAGTGGGTGGTGGGGAGGGAAGGGTTCAGAGCTGCGTGTGTGTGTGTGTGTGTGTGTGTGTGTGTGTGTTAATACCCAGAGAGAGAGGATACAGCCTGGCCGCCCAGGGGTGAGGGAAGAGAGAAGCCCCTCTGTTGGTGGCAGGTTGGATAAGCAGGGTATACTCCTGCTCCTATCAAAGCTTTATCGCTTCCTCTTAGCCAGGCAGCTCTGTGAATGTGAGTGATGCCAGATTAACTCTTATTTCTGCTGACAGCTATCAGCCCCGCATTGAAAGCTGGAAATTGGCATAATGAAGCTGTTTTTGTTTAATGAGGCTGACTGAGGCTGGGGGAGGCATCTCAGCTGCTGTAATGGAGACTCGGGGGTGCTTGCAGGGAGGAGGCAAGTGCTTCTGCGTTTTCCTTCCTCAGGCTTCAGCCAGGGTGGCCTGAGTGGTCTGGGCTTCAGCCTGTTGCCCTGGGGTGGGGCGGGGGCACCAACAGGGCCCTGACACTGCAGGCACTGCCCCATTAGGGCTGGCAATGGGATTACACCATATAAACAGGGAGCTACTCCCTCCTAAGATGAAGGAGCCAGGGCTGGACCTCTCAGTGGAGTTGATAGGGAGATGGCCCCCTGGGGGGTGATAAATGAGCATCGTCAAGGTGTTTACACTGGCTGCTGCTGCCTGCCCAGTGGGAACCCGCCGAGGAGGCGGGGTGGGGGGGTGAAGGCAGCCAGGCAGTCTGAGGTGGGGAGGAGGTGGGGAGGAGGAAGCGCCAGCAGCATAGCCCAGAAGAACCTCCTTTCTGGTACTACCATAGGCAATATTCTTTTGTCTGAAACAAAATAATGTCATGGTGCCAAGGGCACTAACCACAAGCTCAGCCAGTCTGTCCCTGCCAGCCACCCCCGAACATCTGCCTCAGCCCCACTCCTCTGAACACCCTTAACCCCTTACCCCTAGCACCTTCAAACCCCAGGACTCTTGAAACCTGAAAGGCAGCTCGGCCTAGGCAGCTCTCACCCACATCTCCCATTGGAACCTGGGATCCCGGTGAGATTGGGGAGGCTGCTGGATGGTTGGACCTGGAAGTTTTGTCAAACCCAGTATTTTCTAAGCTGGTGAAAGTTTTTCTAATTGCTCATTTGGACAGAAATAATACCACTCCTTGACACAAACACCTGGTTTCATCCTCTTAGGGTGTGCAGTAGCGTAAAACTCTTTTTTCTCTGGGCTCTTTGGATAGGGAGAGGGGGTTGCATGTAGGAACTGCCTTAAAAAAAAAAAAAAAGCAAATCTATACAAAGTGCCTAGAATTTTGTCACCTAGGTCTGCAGATTAAGCTTTTATATTTTGGTAGCATTCTGTAGCTGTCTATTCCTTAATGAGGGTAGGAGATTTGGGAGGATGTTCTGGGGTCTTTTTTTCTTCTAATGGTTATTGGAATCTGGGTCAAGATGAAGCCAGAGAATTGGGCTGCTTCTCCCTCCACTCAATCCCAGACTTCCCAACCATCCCCTGCCCCCAGGACCCCTCAGAGTTAGAGTGAATATTTCAGGGGAGAGAATTGTAGCCTCTCTGCCAAAAATGTAAAATCTTTATCAATGATGAAAGCTGCTGTGTCTCATTAAAAGGGTACTGAAGTAGAAACAATGACACTGCTGAATCTTATTAACAGTATGTTATTCACAATCTTAACAACAAGGATGCTAATCTCATGATGCTTGTCTGGATGGTTATTTGATTCTGCCCTAGGATACATCGGGGGTGGGGAGTGGAGGAGTCTGAAGGTGGCTAGGGTGAGGGGCTGGTGGAGGCAGCAGGTCTTGGACTAGGGCCTCCAGGACAGGGTTGGAATGGCCAGGAGCTTTGGGGATGTGATGGCTTTGGGAGGTAAGAAATCTACTTCTGACACTTTTACTTTCAGCCTTCTCCTTGTGGGTTCAGAGGAAATTGTGTTAACAGCTACAGGCCCCCATCTCAGGCTTTCCTCCACCTCAAGGTCCAGGGAAAGGTCTATCTAGGGGCGGGAGGACAAGAAAGAGCTAGTGGAGCAGGTGCTAAAAACAAATCTGAGACTCATCTGCAGTCTCTCACTTACTTCTCACAACACCCTAGCAAGCAAAGTACCACCGCTATCGTTTTCCCATGAGGCAATGGGTTCAGAAAGGTTTGAGTGACTTGCCCAAGATTACAAAGCCAGGGGATGACGGAGCTGAGGTCTGAATCTTGATCTGGCCAACCTCTAGACCACTGACTTCATACTACCCCAGCCTCTGTCCCATTGCGGAAGGTATGGGACAAGGTATGAGAAGTCCTAATCAAAAAATGACTTGCCAGGGAGGACTTTCCCAAAGCAGTCACATTTGTGTTCATGAAAATGTACTCCTGCACTCCCAGTTTGGTGTCCTCAGAGGCTTAGAGAAGCCCATAGCCCTCCACCTTGTGTGGAGAGAGGCTTGACCACACGGGAACGTGTCCCTCAGCTCCAGGTACCTGGCCAAGAGCTGGCCAAGGCTGACTCTGCAATTTCCCAGTTTCCCAAGCACCGCCTTTCCCTAGTGTAATGTTCCTCTTGAACCTCAAGGCACCTGCTCCCCTCCTCCTCCTCCCACCCTCTCCTTTTGTCTCCTCCTGTCCTCTCCCCTGCCCCACCCAGACCTCTCCCACTTTCCAAACATTTTCACCTCCACGTCACCCTTAATCCCCACCCATCACAGCCCAGTGCCCCATGACCTCCTCCCCTCCTCTCACCTTTCCTGTGGGGGGGGCGGGAGGGGAGCGGGGTGGGTGAAGGGCTGTCAAGAGCAGTGCAGTGAGGGCATCAAACTCCAGGTGGCACCACAAGGCACCTTCGCCTGGTGGTACCTTGGTGCCCCTTCTGTAGAGGCACCTGGCCAGGAAGAGGACGCCTTCCACAAACAGGTGCTGTGTACACCCCCCACGGGAGGAGACAGGCTCGCAGGGCCAGTGAAGGACTCATCTATGCCTGGGGAGTCACAGCCAAAGGTGGCACCACAAGGCACCTTCGCCTGGTGGTACCTTGGTGCCCCTTCTGTAGAGGCACCTGGCCAGGAAGAGGACCCCTTCCACAAACAGGTGCTGTGTACACCCCCCACGGGAGGAGACAGGCTCGCAGGGCCAGTGAAGGACTCATCTATGCCTGGGGAGTCACAGCCACTGAAGTGCTGAGCCCACGGTGCCCTGTGATCCCAGCCCACAGCCTGTGGACCCATGACTAATCCAAGATAGTGGTTTCCAGGAGGGGAATTAATTCTCAAAAGTGAGTTTAGGTGTCAACTGGTGCCCTGCTCTGAGGACACAGCAAGGAAGATCCAGGAGGTGGTGGCTCCAGTGAAAACCCAGGAGGGAATTCTGCTAAGAAATGTTGGAATTCTGTGTGTCTTAGCCCTGGTCCAGGTGTGGAAGCTGCTGACTGTGGCTCACTGAGCTAATTAATTCTTCTTGCTTTGAAAACTCCTGAAGGGGGCACAGCAGCTAGTGCTCACACACCTGCCAAATCAGATCAAAGTGCAGACTGGGAGCAGGAGGCCTCCTTGCAGAGTCCACAAGTAGGGCCAATGTAGGCCCCACCAGGCTGGGGTCTGGAGGAAGGAGCCCCTGCCCCACCACGCAGGAAAAGAGAGCTGAAGTTTGAGAGTTGGAGGTTGGTTTGGGGCTTGGGGGTGCTCCAAGCCTTCAAGAAGTCATGGGGGGTAAAAGAAAACAAGCAGTGAGTGGAGGGGAGAACTGGCAGCCTTTGCTGTTCTATACCTTCCCCCTGTCCCATCACTTCCTACCCGACTCTCCCTGTTTGCAGGATTTCCTGTCTCTGGGTCTCCCTGACACCCACTTGCTCTGCTTTCTTTTCTCCGCTGTCACTGATGCTCAAAGCTGTACCTTGCAATTATCTTATCTTTCCATCTTTCTGCCAGGAAATTCCCGAAGCTGAGCTCCCCTGGGATGCTCGCTGGCAAGGGAGATGCAGCACACTCTCTGTGCATCCTGCCTGGAGCTGCAGTCAACTGGGGAGAGGGGATGGGGCTGGAGCCATTAAAGCTGGGGGAGGTTCAGTTCCCCTCTATGCTGCCACTCAACCCATAAGTCTTTACTGCTCCTCTCAGGAGCCTCAAGCTGGAAACATCTTGGGCCTGAAAACTCCGAAGAAGAGTAGCCAGTGCTCACGGCTGGGACTGTACCTAATGCTACAGCGGCCTTGCTACTTATGACCTCTTCTAAGGATACAGGATTACTGTTTAGTCAGTCGACAAGTATTTCCTAAAGGCCAACTTTGCCAGGCACTATCCTAGGTGCTGAGGACATAGTGACAAACAAGATTATCCTTGGCAAGTCCCTGGCAATCAATGGTTAGGACTCCACACTTCCACTGCAGGGGGCACAGTGTTTGATCCTTGGTCTGCGAACTAAGACCCTGCATGCCACGTGGCCAAAAACAAACAAAAAGTAAACAATATTATCTTTAAGATGTTCACAGTCTTTTGGGGGAGATAAGCAAGACCATCAGTGATAAGAGTACAGGGAGGGAGGGCTGTGCAGAGAAAGGATCCCTACTCAGGATTGAGGTGGGGGCGTCAAGGAAGGCATGAGGGAGAAGGGCTTGAGTAAAATCTTCAAGGATGAGTAGAGTTTGTCAGGTGCAGAAAGGGAAGTGAGGCATTGGGAGGAGAGTATGCCAAGCAGTCTTGAGGGGGACACAATAGCAAAGGACACAGGAAGTTTATCCTGCCCAGAGGATGCATGGAAAGAGCCCAGCATTCAGAAGACATGGAGCTCATCCTGACTCTGCAGGACAAAAGGAGGGCCTCACTTTTCTTGCTTTGGTGAGAATGACCAGCAGCTTAATGTCTAGGAATATTGTAGCTGTTACTCAATGGCTTTGTGAAAGGAGCCACATTCCATGAGAGGC